GGTTCAAACCATTTAAATGCTGTACTGGTAACACTAAGACAACTCAAACATGCTTTTAACATTCGGTGGTCCAAGATGTCAAAAACCTACAGATAGAGCCAACCACAATAAAACTGATGATAGGCACTTTGCCTTGGCCACCATAAGCCATTAACAACACAACCTAATGCAGATTCTATAGGTTATCTGACATGAAAACCCAAATGGAATAGATTATCTATTGAAAGATGAAGTGAGAATTGAAAAGGAATGATTCTTTCAAGAACTTCAAATAAAAAGGAAAGGACACTTGGTGAATATTAGGATAAACAAAAGGATCAAATGAAGATTTCATTTTTAATGAAGATCACACATAAGCATGTTTTCAGGAGTCAGCCCCCCCCCCCCAAACTGAAAGAAAACAGTTCACTAGCCTCATACCAAAAAGAAGGAAATAAGGGAGGCAGGATAAATGAAGGAAAGAGTGAGAAGTATCAGAATGAAGGACAGTATTAGAAAGCCCAGTGACCACGTTCTTCTATAAATGGGGGTGTGTGTGTGTATGTGAAAGCTAGCTAGAATTAGTAAACTGTTGGAACTGAGCTTTGCTACAAATACGAAATAATTATCAAAATCACCAGGTTTCAAGAACAGTTGGTAAAGGTGAAGATAAAAATGATGGGAAATCGGCGAATGTCTTCTTGGGAGATTTTGCTTGAGTACCTATTAAATTTTCCCTACTCCAGTCAATCAAAATATGCAGAGAGGTTGAGATTTGAAAAGATTGGATAGAGATAAATGCAATAGATCAAAAAAGGTGAGATACATATAAAACCTCCACAGGGTTGAAAGCCATACTGTCCACTATATTCCTAACAATAGTAGTATTTAATGCTGCAGATATTCTCCAACTCTGCTTCCAAGCAATCTTATTTAATTTCTCACCAGTCTTTCCAAAGCTGATTCAATGTGGCTGGCCATCCTACTGCTTTACAGTCCATGAAAATTCCTAGCTAAACTTTCCCTATCCTGATGCCCTCCAGATGTGTTGGAAAACACAGCCTTAGATCATCCTGGGTGGGAACCATGAAAATTGTAGTCCAACACATCTGGAGCACATCAAGCTGGTGAAAGTTGTTTTAAAGTCATAAAATGAAGTTGCTACTAGATCTTGTGAACCCTTCAATACAGGGCTGGGGAAAGGGAGAGCAAAGAATCCTTTAAGAAACTCTGTTTAGTCTAAAACATCCTTGGTGGGTGGGCTAGAGCAAGAGTACTGTGAACTTGGCAACTGAAGAGTAAATCTGTTTTAACATCCAGATTAAACTCTGTTAACTACTGACTTTGAATAACAAACACCGAGAAGCAAAGTTGGTTCTGAGCTATATTTGTTGGTGATTGAAAGACACCGCAGTCCAACACAACTGGAAAATATCATATTGTGAAAGGTGGAACAAGGGTATCCAGGGAAAAGTTGGCTTGAACTTTGAAAAGTTGCAAATTTACAAGCTTTCAGCTATTAAATGTTCCAATTCTGAAGATCTTGAGCCTGGCATAGTAGGATATTATGGAGCCAAGCAATCATTATTTCTTATGGGACATGACATAAAACTAACTTCCAAGTTTAACCATATGAGGTCTCAACTTCCAAGGAACAAATGATGAACCGAAGACATCTCTAATAAAAGGAGAACCAATGACCGCAGTGGAATGAAGAGCTGGAAAATAGCTTAAATTCCTCTCTGGATAAAGAGATGATTTGAGATTGCACACAAGTGCTCCACACAGTTACTCCTCGCAAGGAGATTAGAAGACAGTGGCAAGTCATTTCTTTATATATTTCTTCTTTTTTTACTATGTTCTTATTTGTTCTTTCTTTTCTATTTTTCTTTCTATTTTGTCTTATCTGCACTTTCTACTTTTTTTTCTTTTATTTTATTTTTATATCTCAGAGGAGCATTTTCTAGAGCACATTTTGAACAGCTAGACCTCATGGTAAGATATGGGAGGTTTCTTGGAGTTTAGTTTGAAGAAAGACTGTATTTGTGGAGCACCAGTTGTTGAAGATATATTCTTTCTGACTATAGACCAGTGGTTCTCAACCTGTGGGTCGGGACCCAATTTGGGGTCGAACAACCATTTCACGGGGGTCGCCAAACAATGCAATCCGCCATTTTTCCCCCCTTTTCCTTAGCTGTGCTACTCCCTTTTATTCTATTGGCTTTTGAAAGCCAATAGAATAGACCAGTGGTTCTCAACCTTTCTAATGCCGCAACCTCATAATATAGTTCCCCATGTTGTGGTGACCCCCAACCACTTATACATTACCGGGTGCCAGGGGCGTTGCCAAAGAAAATGGGGAAAAAATGGCGGACAGCCTTGTTTGGTGACCCCCGTGAAATGGTCGTTCGACCCCAAATGGGGTCCCGACCCACAGGTTGAGAACCACTGGAATAGACTCTCTTGAATAGAGTCTAATTCTATTGGCTTTCAAAAGCCAATAGGAATTGTCCAGGCTCTCTCTACCCTGCTGAGCCTGCCAAAAGTCCCATTCTGCAAACGGTGCTGCACCAGTTAGTAGTCCTCGACTTACGACCAGTTGAGTAGTCCTCAACTTACGACTGGTTGGGGGTCGCGGCATTAAAAAGGTTGAGAACCACTGCTATAGACTATATTCTGCAGAAGGGACTGCTTAATTAAATTCTTACTTAAAAACTTAAAAAAAAACAGGGCATCCAGGACATACTGTCTTACTCTTTTCAGGGAACAAACCAGCTTATCATTACTATTCAAAGGCCATTTCAAAGAGGAGGGAATACTTAGACCAGATTGGTGTTAAATGTAGGGATCATGACTTGCTATGAACATGTCCTATTGTTCTCTTTGCATCTACTTGTATATTTGTATTAGTTTTATAGTTCTGATATGGCCAAATGACTAAATCAATAAATATTCTATTCTATTCTATTCTATTCTATTCTATTCTATTCTATTCTATTCTATTCTTCTATTCCATTCCATTCCATTCTCTATTCTATTCTATTATTCTATTCTATTCTATTCTATTCTATTCTATTCTATTCTATTCTATTCTATTCTATTCTAATCAGCTATACAAATCAACATATGGTTGTTTGTGTTTTAATTCTAAAATAGAATAAACTCTACTTACCTTATTACTTTTAAACAATATACATTCCACCTTAGATTATACGTTACTGGTGCAATTTTTAATATTCTTTTTTAGTTTTAATTAAAAAATAAAATAAAACTCATTTAAGCCATTCACCCGACTGCCTAAAGAGCAGATTTAAAGTTGCATAATAAAATGTTTAAACCAAACACACAGAAAGAGTTGCCAGAAGCCAAAGATCAACGTCCAAGCAATGCAATCATCATGACTGAGCCAAGTGGGAAGAAAGCAAGCCAAAGAAAAAGGCAGACAGAATTATGACTGCTTTTCTTCTTCGTGGATCCCATGAGTAGGTTTAGGGAAAGGTTTACTCAATTTGCTGAACTTAGTTGCCAAAGTTTAGAAGGTCTTTTTTTGTGTGTGTGTGTGCTCATCCCCACAAAAAGTCAATAATAGAAAAATCTAGAAGCAAAATCTCAAGGAAAGCATTGGCTCACTGAAGTGATGTGGCTAGGTTATGAACACAACAATGTTCCAAAGGTTAAGCATTGCTACAGAAATGCAGCACACCCATGCCCCAACTGCAATGAGAAAGATAAGAATATTAGCCAGTAAGTAAACTAAGTTGATTCTGGAGAACATGGTTCTAGATCTAAGAATGTTTTCTGTTAGCGTTATAAATTGCATTATAAATTCAAACCAACACTTTGATTTCCACTGGAAGCCTCTTGAAAGCCAGCGACTGACCTACAGCTTTGGTGTCATGTGCTCTTGCAACATGTACTAATTAACAATTGCACTGTGAATCAACTGCAGCCTCCGAGCCATCTTCAAAAGCATCTCTGTGCAGAACGTATTACGTATTCTTTCTGTCTGCTAGAATACTGATGTTGAAAGCAGGGGATAAATAATAACATCCCTCTCAATCTCATCGAACTGTAATATTAGTTATGCCATTGCTTCTTAGGAAACCACCACGAATAATTATTGTAAGTCCGCACAACTCTTACTCCCAGAATTCCCCAGCCAGACAATTGAGATCCAGACATCCTAAGACTGCTAAGATCAAGCAGCCTTGATCTAATGAATAGCCACATTGATCTAATGTATAAGCCACACAAAGAAAGTAAAGGATTTTTAAACTCACCAACTCTAACTTGGTGCTTTATCCACTAGACCAGAGGTAGGCAACCTTGGCTCTTTTATGACTCGTGGACCTCAATTCCCAGAATTCCTGAGCCAGCTTAGCTGGCTCAAGAATTCTGGGAGTTGAAGTCCACAAGTCATAAAAGAGCCAAGGTTGCCTACCCCTGCACTAGATCAAACCGTCTCTCCCTATTTTAATTCTCCTTATTTTATTCTCAGGGTTAGAATTTTCCCTTTTTTGCAGAAATTAAGTTAGAATAAAACAGAATGCCTTTGTAAAATTCCACGATTTTAAATGGAAGAGCAAGGAAAAAAAATATCATTATATATACATCCATCATGGTATGTCATCACAATGTTTCCCCAGAGAATTTGTTTCTTGGCTGTCATGTTAAAATTAATAACCGTAAGTGGTTTTGGAACTAGCAATAGGTGGCTATGGAACTACAATAGTAGGAAATGGCCATATGCAATGGATGTTTCATTGTGTTAAAAGCAAATGAATAACTAACTCCTTACTGGGCGCACTCCCAATGTTTCCTGTGTTTTCTTATACATGGTGTTATATAATATAATCCCAAGAAAATTAAATTTGCAATGAAATCTAACTATACTTCAGCAGTTTATTTATTTTTTTTCTTTCAGAATAAGAACTTTCTGTTTGGGCGAAGATATAAAAGCACAGCACTTTCCATTTTAAATAAACTTTTAACATAAAGTAAGAAAAGTATTGGCAACATACCTGAAAAAGAACATAAACAGGGCAGCTGTTACACAGAACAAAAGGACCTATAAAAAGGAAAAAGAACATTATTTAAACAGCTAATCCCAATTAAGTACTGACAAACCAAGATCAGATTTCAGGAAGTTTTAAATAATTCAAAGACCTCATTAGGCACATTATAAAAAGTGAAATTTACAGTAAAAAATGTCAATAACGATGTTACAAAGAACAGGGTTGGAGTTGTTGGGGTTTTTTTGGTTTTTTTTTTGTCCTTTTGGCTATGCTCAACAAAATACAGACTCTCTCTCTCTATATGTGTGTATGTGTGTATATACGTATATGTATACATACATACATACATACATACATACATACATACATACATACATACATATATAGTAAATTAAAATTTTGGTCTTATTTCTTTGATTGACCATGACAAAATCCACCTATCCCAGCTTTGCTAAACATGTAAGCCAGGGGTAGGAAAGCTTGGCTCTTTTATGACTTGTGGACTTCAATTCCCAGAATTCCTGAGCTAGCCATGCTGGCTCAGGAATTCTGGGAGTTGAAGTCTACAAGTCTTAAAAGAGCCAAGGTTGCCTACCCCTGATGTAGGCCAATGTGAAGATTTATATATATATATATTTAATCAATTTTATATAGCCACTCATCTCAGCAAAGGATACCCTGGGTGACAAACAAGAATCAGTAAGAACAATTAATACAAACAAAAAACGTACAGAATAAAAATAATAATAATAAATATCAGTATCACAAAAGTGAAAATACAAACGATAGGAGGAGGAGAATAAAGATGGCCACCTCAGTATTTATTTATTAATCAAATTTATGTAGCCGCCCACCTCACCTGAGGCGACTTTTGGATGGACAGATGGACAGGAAGTTTGTCTTTGGGTCTATCTTAAAGTAAAGGAGCAGAAGGCCAACAAATGGGATGGGAAGTGGTTATTGCACTGGCCCAGAAAAGACCTCCAAATTGCTAGGAACTGAAACAAAATATTTTATAAAATAAATAAATAATTTAATGAAAAATTAAAATAAAATAAAAAGGGGTGAGAGAAGGAGGTAATGGCAGGTCCCTAGGGGTTCTAGAACCAGGATTTATAAAAGGCAGAAGGCCAATGTGTCAGGATGGCATCATCTTTGCCAGCGCCTCATGCAGATTGTGAAGAAGAACAAGCTTGAAATATAAACTGAGCTAAACTATATGAAGATACTGGTGTTTCCTACAATAAACACTATGCTTTTCTGCAAAGTCTTGGAAAAGAAGACTGCAATAATAGCCAGGTATTCAGGGGATGGGGGTGGGAAGGCAGCCCTTAAATTAGCCAACATGATTTTGTTTAATTATTGCCTATTATTGTGAGTTTAGGTACATTTTGTTGTTTTATGGGCATGAGCCATCTAGAACCCACGAAGGAGCAGCACAGAAATATGTGATTGACTGAAAGAATGAAAAAAAATTAATGAAGCAGAAATGTATACCAAAGACAAGATTGCGAATGATTACCTATACACACACATATCAAAAATACAATGGAGAATTCCTATCATTATATAACACAAATGTACAAGAAATAGAAATTAAATTTTAAAAAGCCTTCAATCTTTATTGCTTCTATTCTTGTATCCACCTGCATCCATCAATGCACTGCATTGGAGCCTGCATCTGGATTTACTGTAGATTAAGCAACAATTAGCAAGAGTCTATAGATGTGGCAAATTGTGAGCACTCTCTGACTTGAGTTGCACATATAAATACTTCTTGCAACTCCCTGCAACAAGTTCATGTGTTTCCATTGCTACCCATTAGCACAAGCACACTAACACACTTGTATTTCAGCATGTCAGTTCAATTACTTATTTTATTGTGTCTCAGCAGTGGGTGATGTTGGCAGCCGTTCAAATGGCTACAGGGGACTTTTTGATCATTAACAGCCAACATGGGAGCATGTGACTGGGTTCAGGGTAAGCTCCTTCACCTTTTTTGAAAGTCAAAAACTAACTTTGTGTTAATTTTTAATTGCTGTTCTAAAACAAATGTGTTTATAATTGTTAGTGCTACTTTGATAGTCCCTAAAAAGAAAGATTAGATTGTAAAAACTCTTTCTAGCTTTCTCCATTGCTGATAGGATTAACATTTTAAATTTAACATTTGATGTTTACCAACCCTCAAAAGCCATTTTTTCATTCGCTTAGCTTGAACATTAATTAAAGGTAAAGGTTTTTTCCCAAACAGTCATATCTGACTCTAGGGGGCAATGCTCATCTCCATTTCTTTGCTGAGGGAGCCAGAGTTGTCCAAAGACATTTTCTGTGGTCAGCATGGCTATACACCAAGGGGCACAAAACACTGTTACCTTCCCACTGAAGAGGTTACTTATTTATCTACTTGCATTTACATAATTTCGAACATTGTTGTTGTTCTTAGTTGTGAAGTCGTGTCCGACCCATCGCAACCCCATGGACAACATTCCTCCAGGCCTTCCTGTCCTTTACCATCTTCTGGAGTCCATTTAAGCTCACGCCTCCTGCTTCAGTGACTCCATCCAGCCATCTCATTCTCTGTCGTCCCATTCTTCTATTGCCCTCAGTCTTTCCCAGCATTAGGCTCTTCTCCAGTGAGTCCTTCCTTCTCATTAGGTGGCCAAAGTACTTGAGTTTCAACTTCAGGATCTGGCCTTCTAAAGAGCAGTCGGGGTTGATCTCCTCTAGGACTGACCGGTTTGAGTGCCTTGCAGTCCAGGGGACTCGCAGGAGTCTTCTCCAGCTCCATAGTTCAAAGGCCTCAATTCTTTGGCGCTCAACCTTTCTTATGGTCCCACTTTCACAGCCATACATTGCAACTGGGAAAACCATGGCCTGGACTATACGCACTTTTGTTGGCAGGGTGATGTCTCTGCTTTTTAGTACGCTGTCTAAATTTGCCATTTCGAACATTTAAGTCCAGCAATTTATAACATAATACAGGTAGTCCTCAACTTACCACTATAATTGAATCCAAAATTTATGTTGCTAAGCAAGACAGTTAAGTGAATTTTGCCCCATTTTCTTGCCACAGTTGTTAAGTGACTCGTTGCAGTTGCTAAGTGAGGTTAGTAACACGATTAGTAACATGGTTATTAAAGTGAATCTGGCTTCCCCGTTGACTTTGCTTGTCAGAAGCTCACAAAATGTAATCCCATGACCCTGAGGGACACTGCAGTCATGATAAATATGAGTCAGTTGCCAATCATCTGAATTTTGATCATCTGTGGGGGTGCGGCAACGGTCATAAGTGTGAAAAACGGTCGTAAGTCACTTTTTTCAGTGCTATTGTTAAGTTCAAATGGTCACTAAACAAAATGCTGTTAAGTCAAGGACTACCTACACCAAAGATTAAAAATCAACTAAAAACTGAAGAAACAAGCAAAAAATAATAAAATTATTTTCCTCTATGGGTTTTAAGCATAGTTGATGAATCAGAGAAGCAATTTCTCATTGTGTTACTTAGACCAGAGTTCCCCAACCTTTCCGGCTTTGCGGACCAGTGGAGGGGGGAGAGAGGATGGTTCCGTGCAAGCGGCCAACAAGTGTGCATGCAGCTCCATTTGTGAGAGCGGCATGCACAAGCGCCGGCTGCTCACACAAATGAAGTGTGCATGCACGCGCTTGCAGGAATTGCCCACTGTTTCCGCAGCCCGGTTGCAAACACCTCAAGGCCCACTAGTAGGCCATGGCCCACAGGTTGGGGACCCCTGACTTAGGCCTTTTTAAGTGTTGAAAAGTTTACGCGGACAAAAAAGGCACAAAGATGCCATCTGCCCTCAGCAGCCATGTACAGAAGCCGGATCTCAAAGCAACCAAGCAAAGAAGACCTTTCAAGGGAGTTTAGCGGAGGCGATAAAGGAAGAGGCATTATGTTTGTCTGTTGTCCATCTGAGAGACACGGAGATGGAGGAAACCGTTCTCATGACCTGCACAAGATGTACCATGTTTGTTTTCTGGCATGAAGAGGACCAGAATTACAAAAGCTGATTATTCTCCTGGAAGAGAAAGTGAGAAGCCTTCCTCCACCCACCCCAGATAATAAAGATGAGAAATTCTAGAATGGAAACAGAACACACTTTGTTGTTGTTGTTGTTAGTTGCGAAGTCGTGTCCCACCCATCGTGACCCTGTGGACAACGTTCCTCCAGGCCTTCCTGTCCTCTACCATCTTCTGGAGTCCCTTTAAGCTCACGTCTACTGCTTCAGTGACTCCATCCATCCACCTCATTCTTTGTTGTCCCATTCTTCTATTGCCCTCAATCTTTCCCAGCATTAGGCTCTTCTCCAGTGAAGGTCTTATGGAAGGTCAATGGTATCATGAAGCTTCCCAGAAAAATATTTAAAAAAACAAAAGAGTATGGGAGAGATAGATAAAGCATGAACTAAAGGTCTAAGCCCGTCAAGATGAGCTCTCGTTCTCTGGAGTTTCAGAGTATCCTAATCAATATTTCTGCTGGATGAATGCAGCAGCCATGGTCTCAGGCATTAAAGAAAAGACCTCAACAGACTGCACAACAACAGATTTTTTACCTCCGCACTGAAGAGGACTGTATTATTAGAGATGCTGAGAAGAATAAAGCAGCCATCTGCCAACTGGATGGCCCATTAAGAAAAGTGTGCTGCTTTCCTGGGACATACATCAGGGATGTGATGGAAATGTTGCTATTTGTTTATTTATTTGTTTATTTCTTCGTATCCTGCTTTTATTATTTTTACAAATAACTCGAAAACAGCAAACCTATCCAACAGACCTTCTTCCTCCTAGTTTTCTCACAACAGCTCTGTGAGTTGGGTTGAGCTGAGAGTGAATGGCTAGCTCAGGGGTAGGCATCCTTGGCTCTTTTATGACTCGTGAACTTCAACTCCCAGAATTCCTGAGCTAGCCATGCTGAGGGGAAAGGGAGAGATTTCCAAGCTGAGCCATGCTGGCTCAGAAATTCTGGAAGTCCACGAGGCATAAAAGAGCCAAGGTTGCCTACCCCTGGGCTAGCTCAAAGTCATCCGATTGGCTT